ACAATATAACAATTAAGCTTAACGATGTTTTCGGTAACAGGTATTATTACTGATTAGTGATTAAAAAACTGCGTTTTGCAATAGAATGCAATTGCCCATCTAGGTTTAAAGAAAACACTAAAAACAGTAAACAGATATGTTTTGATCGTTTGAACTTAACTTTTTTTTCGTCCCATTAGTCTTAATTCTGTCTTGATAAATAACAAATACTATCTATCATAAAAATTGACACAAGTTCAAGGCTGTGATATCGAAGAGTCTGGTTTGAATTTATTTAAATTATTAAATTAAAAATTAAAATTTATTATTTAATAACGCAAATTCGAAACTGACAAAAGAATATTAATTTTGACCTGGATTTTCGTATTACGACATATAACATTAGGTACTAGATATTCTGAAGATAAATTGCAACAACTCCAAATTATGAGAAATTTTCTAAATCAAGAAAAACTTTTAAATTAAGAGAAATTTTGTGAAAAAAAGATATTACTAAATTATCAGAAATATTCTATAAAAGAAAAAATTCTAATAAATAATATCCTTTAAATTATAATAGACTAGGGCAGTAAATATCTGTAAAAAAATTAGAATTTTTTTTAAACTCTCCATAAGGGGAAAGTAGCTAAAGGGGGCGACAAAAAATGTTTGGGAAGGGATTTTTTTAATTATTGTTATAGACAACTGAAAACCTATGATTGGAACTTTCTTTACTCTATAATAAAAGTAGATGAATATGCAAAACTATTTATAAACAGATATCAGTCACTTCTAAATAAAAACACTAATATACAAAAAATCAAACACACTCAATTGCAAAGGAAACCTTGGATCACAAAAGATATTGTGGGTGGTCCAACTGATGTTAATTGTAAATAAAACAAAAAGTTTTTAGAGAATTATCTTAATATTTTTTATTATGATAGAAGGATATATGACAATTATGTTTGAAACAAAATATCGGCCAAATTCTCGCCATAACTTCGGTGGCATACCTCTATCCGATGATACATATTTTCAATGACTCTGAGACATAATTGAGGTTTAATGTCGTTAATGTGAATAATTGATAACGGACTTCTTGTGGCCAGCAATTGAGAATATAGACCTGGACGATATGTGATTCCAACACCTTCTATAAAACCCGATTTCCCTCCTGCATGTAAAATTATGTGTCGCTTCTCTTCTCCATCGGTATGTTTGATGGACTTTACGTTATCATCTTGTCATATTCTCTTGGTTGCACCCCTAGAAAATATCCATGTTTCGTCTAAATATATAAAATTCGCCCCTTCTTCTTTAAATTTAGAATATTTTCTTAAAAAGTTAATTATCTTGTGGACGATAGAACTTCTTTCACAAAGGGCCTTTCTGTTATCCTCCTTTTGAAATTTGAAATCCAAGTTATGTATCACTTGCCATAGACTTGTTCTGCCAATGTCGTCAAATTTTCTATCTATTAATTCCGAGAGAATTGTATTTAAGGTCACATGTTCCTTGTTGGTCCTCATTCGATAAATGGTATGGCGAATTTCAAATTTCTCTCCATCTGAAATATCTTTCGTTTTCAATGATGGGCGAGTTTTGCGGTAATCTTCTTTCGGCAGTTCACTATTGCGATTTTGTAATACTCCTCTTAATTTGGTTTCCCTAATTCCTAGACCATCGCATACGCGTTGTTGTACAGACATTACCGATTTTAAAGGACCGCCATTTTCTTTTTCATCCGTAAAATACTTATGTACACTATAAATTAGACTATCTACATCTAATACACGTCTAGGCATTTTTAAAATTTCCACTAAATTTACAATATACATACAATGTCAACCCTTGCGAAGAATCAATTCAACTGCAATATTTGTAACAAATTTAGTACCTACCCTAATGCTATTTTAATTTAAATCTGACCATTAGGGCAATTTTATCTAATTTCTTGGGAAGAGGCTTATTGGAACTGGCTGTCAATGACTAATTTGCATAATTTTGTTAATCCGAAACCCGCGTAAGTATAGCAACCAGACTGTATCAATTGTTTAACCAGTCTGTATTTTTATAAACTTATCAAAAGCCTTTGACACCGTCAGCCATCCTCCAAATTTGCATTCATTAAGTGACATAGGAATAAAATATAATATTTTATAGCTTTTCAAAACATATTTAGGTGGTAAGAGTCAGGCTGTAAGGGTGGGTGATGTTCCTCAGGGGTCAGTACTAGGACCAACGCTTTTTAATGACTACATAAATGAATGGTTTTCACTAAAATGTGAGAGAAATTACGTTTTAATAATACATTAGTACATACGTGCAATTTAAAATATTTTTAGTTACAGGGTGATTTACAAATATATGATGGTAGTTTCTTGCAAAATCTTACTAATTCTACTAATTCAGGGAAACATATTTTCAAAAAGCACTACTGGTATTACAAGGAAAAAAATTGCATAGTAAACATTTTTATACAAGGTGTTTAATAGCGAAAACCACACGATTAATTCAAAAAACAACCACGTAATTGATTTTTGGGACAGATAATATCACTAAAAGATGTGTACATCTAAGCTTCAAAGTATAGCGAACAGACTTGATAAAAAAAATTGTGATATTCATTTAAATAAATAATATGATTGATTTTCCATGTTTTCGATTTTGATATACTTTATACTAATGTATTTAATTTTTTAAATATTTAATTTTTATATATTTACCCTGTAATTTCAATGTTTTTAATCGATTATTTTTATTATTAATATTTTTATAATTATTATGTTTTAATAATTATTATTTTCATCATTTTATTGAATTTTTATAAATATATAACTGAATAGGTATATAAAAAAAATAAAAAAAGAGTGTCAACAGCAAATCCACGTGATGGCTTAGCCTTAGTGGATTTACTAGGTTACTTACACTTATATGTATTTAGAATATAGTATATTGTTTCACGAGTGACGAAAAATGATTTTCGACGAGTAAAACACTATACTTTTTCTACGAACTCTATTATGTCATGTAGGTACCTACTAAAATAAAAAAAAACAAACGTTAGCAAATGCTTTATTTTGTGTTAGGAATAACAAAAAATTAACCAACAATTAAATATTTCAGAAATATTATTTATTATTTAAATATTGATTTATTGTTATATTTGAACAATTGTTTAAAATTATGGGGGTATCACACTCAAGCTTTTTTTCATTGAGGTAGATGCCGACATATTTGTTCTACTGTTAAATGTCATTTCAGATGATGAAGCGCCATAATCGGATGAACTAGTAGTTTCCTTATTTTGTACAGATTGTAAAATTTTGGTTTGTATTTGGTTTTTACTGTTCGTGGATTTATCAACATATCCTTCCGCAACACTACTAGATTTCCAACCACCGTGCTTTTTAACAGAAGCAAGTCACCTCCTGCATCCACTAATAGCGTTGCGGATGTTCTGCGGAAACAGTGCCCAGTGTAATCTTGAGGATTTGGAAGCGTTAAAAACTGGGCAATTTCGTTAGGAAATTTACTGATTTTATTAACAACAACCTGTCTGCTACACTTTCCATTCTGATAGTTAATAAAGAATCTTGAATTAATTTGATCCATGTTTGTGGGACGTAGGCTCATATATTTTTTAGAAATATCATGAAAGGGTCCAGAAATATGAAAAGAACGCGGAACTTTTGTTTTTGTATTACGGATTTTAACTAACAGAATACTTCCAGTATCCTTTACATCGCTTATTGTTAAATCTTTTAGTTCGTGGCAACGACAAGCGCCAGATAATCCAAAAACTAATGCTACCTACAAATATTAGTAGTTATGTATTAAGTATTTGTTAAAATAAAAATAATAATTCCGTTACCTTTGTTATTAAATATTTATAGTCAGGTGCATTCTTTAGGAAAGTCTTTATGTCTTCAGGCGAAAAATTTTTGGATTTTTGGCTTTTAAAACCATCAGATTTTCTTTTCAAAAGCGAACGTAACTTTGGATATTTACTAATATCGACATAATTTTTAACAGAGAGTGTAGTTCTTAGCATCGAATAAATGGACCATAACGTCGACGGTTTAAAATTTGAACATATTTCTCCAAAGTATGCTAGTAGTACAGTTTCCGAAAATGATTTCACTTTATTTTTTTCTCTCCAGTCCAAAAATTTGATATAAATTTCTTCATATCTCTTTTTTGATTTGGCCGGTAATAAATCTGAAGAGGTTTCTTCAGCTTTAAAAATAATTTCTAGGGGAGTACAATCGCTTTCTGACTCAGACATCAAGAAAATGTGTTAAATTTAGGACGAACTGAAACTGACAGTTCTCGAAAGTGATAAAACTTCAAATAAACAAATGAAAACCAGGAAACTAGATGTAGATTGGTTTAATTTGCACTATTTTTATACATTTTTATTTTAATTCATTAAAGTGTAGGTAAAAACGCATATAGAATTTAATGAGCATCTTTTTATTTCTTTATGAATAATTATAAGCTTCCAAAATATTATACGAGGCGACTGATATATGAAAATATGTAACAACTTACTTTCGTCACTAGAGACGAAAGTAAACGTTATGGGATTTTTTCTCACTAGTGACGGAAATCAAGTTTTCGCTGAAAGTATCCTGTGGCGAAAGATGTCTTTTTGTAAGAGTTCGTAGAAAAAATAATTAATGTAATTCTTGTGTAATATACCTTATTATTATTATATTATTAAATGTTTCTAAGAAAATAGTTGTTTTTATGAAAAATTTGGTGGTATATTCTTAAAAGTAAGTAATAATATTCTTCTTCAGTTCCAATGAATAAGTCACAAGGTATAACAGTTAAACCTGTCTACCAGAAGCCATAACTATGTGTTCAATTGTTATATAAAAAATTCACCTGTTTAAAAGAAAAATAAAACAATATGATACATTTTTGTTTCACCCCTCGTATCAACTTTCTTATTACTTTATTACATTCTCCCAGACCATCTTCCTTCCATCCACTCCCATTTCAATGCGCCGCTATCTCGACTGATTGCTAACACCACCTCCACCGTACGTGAAAGCGTGAAAGCAGTATCAGTGCTATGTTATAGCAATTTCAGTGTTAGTCACGAAACTCAACTCGGTGGTGAACCATACGAAAAAAATTGTTGTGGGCTACTTTCATTATTTATAAAATAAACAGTATCGATTATAGATTGGAAATTTTCATCAGTGTATTGATACAATCTTTCATAGTCGGCTATTTTTTTTTTATTTATTTTTTAATCAAATAATTTCGGTGAAATGATGGACCCCATAGTCCAACATCCCGTTTTTCCACGTACAGGTCAACCATTAAAACAGTTAAATATGATAGCTAAAAAACCACCTGTGGATATCGAATTTTGCGATTTGAATTATTCGATTGCCGATTCGAGAGTTAAAGGGGGTAAGTGAAATTATTCATATTCTCAAATGTTCTCTATTTTCTAAAATCATGCATTTAATGATACTAAAACAACAAATATTTGCGACTTGTTTCGGCTTTAAAAAGCCATCTTCAGGTCTGTAATGCAAATAACAATGAACAAGAAAAATAAAAATATTAATATTATTATAATTATTATTTTTATGCTCTGTAAAAGAAGTTAAATCAAATTATTTATTTTTGCATATTTATTGGTCAAATTTCTTCTCTCCGGGCACATGACCTTACAATTCTTAATAAATCACATAAGAAAAAATTAATTAACTGAAAATAATATACAAAATTTAGAAAAACACTGAAAATCTATAACAAACAATTTTTTATTCAAGACGTTTTTCTGTTTTTTTTTTAATTTGATCTAGAAATTTGACACATTTAACACTATAATAATAATTAATATTGTTTAGATTGCAGCGACTGTTTATTTTTCATGATTTTATAGTGTGTTATCAAATCATCTCTTATGTGAAAAAATCTCAAAACTAAAGAAATTTATATAAACAAAAAGTTCCTTGGTTTATTCGGTCAATAGTTTTTATTTTTTATAATTTTTTAAAAATAATAGAAACCCCATCTTAAGTTGTATTTCAAACTAAATTATTATATATACACTTTTACACGCTGTAAAATAGAAAGACGTAGTTTCTATTATTAAAAAAAAAAATTAAATTGTTTGTATGCGTCCCCCATAAGTTTATTAAAATTGACTGCACCAGAAATGGAAAAAAAATTCCGAAACGTATGTAATGCTTAAATTATAAAAAATAAAAACTTATCGACCGAATAAACCAAGAAACTTTTTATTTATATAAAATTCTACTACAGTCAGGAAATTATCCTTATTCAAAGAAATTTATTATTAATCCTTATAAACATACACAATGTCTATTAAATTGGGGACAAAAAACAACTCACTGATAATTTAGATTATAACGTTATTCCTGTAAAAATTTAAATTTTACCACAATTTCAAGTACAGTCTGTTCGCTATACTTACGCGGGTTTCGGATTAACAAAATTATGCAAATTAGTCATTGACAACCAGTTCCAATAAGCCTCATCCCAAGAAATTAGGTAAAAATTGCCCTAATGGTCAGATTTAAAATAAAATAACATTAGGGTAGGTACTAAATTTGTTACAAATATTGCAGTTGAATTGATTCTTTGCAAGTGTTGACATTATATGTATATTGTAAATTTAGTAGAAATTTTAAAAATGCTTAGACGAGTGTTAGATGTAGATAGTCTAATTTGTAGTGTACATAAGTATTTTACGGATGAAAAAGAAAATGGCGGTCCTTTAAAATCGGTAATGTCTGTACAACAACGCGTATGCAATGCTCTAGGAATTAGTGAAACCAAATTAAGAGGAGTATTACAAAATCACAATAGTGAACTGCCGAAAGAAGATCACCGCAAAACTCGCCCATCATTGAAAACGAAAGATATTCCAGATGGAAAGAAATTTGAAATTCGTGATACCATTTATCGAATAAGGGCCAACAAGGAACATGTGACCTTAAATACAATTCTCTCGAAATTAATAGATAGAAAATTTGACGACATTGGCAGAACAACTCTATGGCAAGTGATACATAACTTGGGTTTCAAATTTCGAAAGGAGGATAACAGAAAGGCCCTTTGTGGAAGAAGTTCTGTCGTGCACAAGAGAATTAACTTTCTAAGAAAATATTCTAAATTTAAAGAAGAAGAGGCAAATTTTATATATTTAGACGAAACATGGATATTTTATATGGGTGCAACCAAGAGAATATGGCAAGATGATAACGTAAAGTCCATCAAACATACCGATGGAGAAGGGAAGCGACACATAGTTTTACACGCAGGAGGGAAATCGGGTTTTATAGAAGGTGCTGATTTAATATTTTCATCTAAATCAAAATCCAGTGACTATCACGATAATATAAACACAGAAATGTTTGTAAAATGGTTGCAAGAAAAACTTCTCCCAGGTTTAAGTGAACCCAGCGTAATTATTTTAGACAATGCACCTTACCATTCTGAAGTATTAAACAAAAGTCCAACGAATTCTTGGACTGTTAATAAAATTAAAGAATGGTTGACAAAGGAACATATACCATTTTCTCAATATATATTAAAATCAGAATTATTACGCTTGGCAAATATACACGCAAAACCAAAAACCTTTGTTTTACGTCTGCCACCGTATCATTGCCAGTTTAATCCCATCGAATATATATATGGGGAATAGCAAAACAATATTACGACAACCATATTGGGCCTAATGGTTATAGTGACGACGCAGTTTGGGAAACTTGGCGAAAAGCACTTTCAATTGCAACTCCAGAAGTGTGGCGGAACTGTATATCCAAGTGCGAGAAACTAATAGAAGATTGGTGGACTCGTGAAAATAAAATAAACCAAATAAGTCCAATCATAATAACAATAATTAATGGTGATGACAGTGATGATGATGACGATTATGATATTTTGGATGATAATGACTGATTTTCATTTTTGTTGGCAAGTTCAATTTTTTTATTTTTCATTTGAAATTCTTTACATGGAACATATTTTTATGTTAGAAAATATTTTATTTAAGCTAAATAACACTCTTATTATACATAGACCATATTTTCTGTGTGAAGTGTAATATAAAATTATTATTAGGTTTATAATAGCCACAGTAGACTCCATTAATGCAGAAGTTTAATTCTGCTCTCAATTATACAAAATATTCTTCATTATTATTTAATTAAAAAGTTGTACATTATTTTTTATTTCATTTAACTAGTTGATATTTCCCCAAAGAACAGGTCAAACTTTCGGGTACTTACCTGGAAATACTCATAAAATTTTTAATCCGAAACCCGCGTAACTATAGCGAACAGACTGTATAAATGAAAAATATATGAATTTATTTTGAATTTTTAAAAAAATTCTGTAAGATTTATTACTGGCATTAAGTCCTATCAAAATTTAACTAAATAATTGTCAATTGATAGGAAATTATTGCTATTTCTGACCATTCTTCGAATTTTTTATCACACTTGAACCAAAACAAATTTATTATATTTTACTTGTAGCTTATTTGTGTGATAAAATTCAGCTTGCTTGATATACACACAATCAAACTTACATGAAATCACCCAATATAACAGTATTTTACAGAAAAAAAGGTAATCCTGATAAAAAAATTACTTTGAATATTAGAATATAATTTATTTCAATATATTTTATTGTCAAAATTGAAAAAATTAAATTAAAATCTTTATATGTATACCAGTCATTGTGCTCAAAGTTTAACAGCTGTTTAGTTTACTACCCTTCCCCTTCGATCATGTTGGGACGAAACGGTAAATTTACTTGGGGTGGAATTCCAATTTATTCCATTCAATAAATACGAGGTTCGACCAAAAACTTGACCAAAAAGTCTAGTGAATTTTTAATTTAATTGAAAAATATTTATTTAATAATTTTGTAATGCAAGCCATTTTCGCACAGTCTGGTTATGCTCTAATCCATTAATTCCTTATCTTACGGCCACACTTTTCCAATTACCAAAACTAATCGATAAAATAACTCAACCCCCAGAAACGTTATGTTACGGCTATGGTAAATGGAACCTCTATGGCCAACGCCGATCAATAGTCTAGAACACAGCGGCATATACATAGATATATAACCAAGACAGATAGGATTATTTACAAAATTTTTGAAGAATGAACGATGGTGTCCGCGGTAGAAACTCAATAATCGGATTGAACATTGATGCCAAGTTTACGTGCTTTTAACTATAGATATATATAACCAATACAGATTACACAATTTCTGAAGTCAACGCGGATGATCCTCGACAGAAATGCAATATTTGGATAAAATTAAAATATTGATGCCAAGTTTGCGATGTTTTTAACTGTAGTAATGTTATTGCGTTTGCTTGAATTACTGTTAGGTCTTTAAATTGTCAAAAAAAAAAAATGTCTGACAACAGCGGAAGTAGAGTAGACCGCAATTGTTGAGGGTCGTATATTGTTTCATTCATAAAAATTCCTTCGATACAGTACTAGTTCAGGAGCCAGTGAATTTTTTCGTACTTGTTTTCCCGGTCCGTGTATATTTAAATAATCTATTCCCGGTGAACTGTATATTTAAAATGGAACGCCAATCTATTAACAAAAGTAAGCCAGATTGAATTCGCGCATTACGTCACATCGATACAAGTGAGATTGTTTACAAAGTGCCTTTGCAGGCCTATTTTGCCCATTTCATGTATTTGTTTTTAAATCATGTTAAATTACTATTTTTGAAACTCAACAAGGAGAAAATCCAATTAACTCTTCCGTTGTGTATATATATAAGATAAATTAACTGAAGTTTTATTAGTAAAGTATTAATACTAAAATTTTAATGTAATTTACAGAAAATAGCTATGTATTTGTTTTTAAATAATTTGATAATTTATGAAAAAGGGAGTAAAAGTGGAATGACCAGTGGCCAGTAGGTCAGTCAATACAAAGTATCATATATTTCTATTATAACATAACTAAAATACCTACATCTTTTAATCATAAGGACATAAGTTAAAAACCATTTTAATATATGCATTAGAATGAAGTAATAATAACTTAAAGAGACGAGGTCTTAAAGTAATAGCTGGTACAGCATGTTTTTTAAACGTTTCCTCATTGCTGCTAGAATGAAATCACTTACTATGAAATGTGCTCTAAAAACGGCATTTATAGCAGTCAGTGTTCAGTCTTAGGATCTCTTCCTAAAGCCCTCATCCAAGCTGCATACATATTAAAAAATAATTTAAAAAAAAACATATTATATACCTATATAGTTTTCGGTTCTGGGTGCCCTAAAAGAGGACACTTAGCCGACAATTTGGCTCAGATAGCTAAAACCCAAAAGTCACATCCCGAACCAGGACGTATTGCTATCCTTTCAAGTAAAAAATAACTACAAATACTTAC